CCTCTTTCGTAAGGTTACTTACCGTAGGTTACGCGAGTTTTTGGATTGTGAAGCGACTGACTCGCCGTATTTCACCCGTGACAATAGTTATTCTTATTATTACGTGTATTATTATTATTATTAAATGTCGTCATTATTGTATCAATCATTAATCCTAATGTCGGCAAATAAATTTAAAAATTGATTACGTACATGATCTTGGTGGCGATACTAGGGTCATTTTTTGGGGTTATATTATGGGAACCAAAAAATCAAATTTATACGGCCTTATATACGAAAAATAAAATTATTTTAGCATTTAAATTTAAGTTTACATCCCTATTCCTGTATTCATAAAAACTGAGAGTCGTACTAGAATTTTAAAAATTTTAGCTTTTCACAGAAATAATGGTTTGTAATTTTCGTTTATGCTAGTTCTTGACCAAATAAAAATAAAATTTTCGATTTTTTTTCATTTTCTACAAAATTTGAGCGTAGATTCCTTGATAATGTTTATTTATTTTCATTATGAGCTTAAGCATTGAAATTGAATTATCGTACAGATGACTGACAAGAAAAAAATGGAACATATGCTTGCCCATCCTGGGTATGTATATAGTGATAGGAATCGACTAAAATTTTTTAGTTGACTAGCAAGTCGATGACTAGTCGATTAGTCGTATAATATTAAAGTAATTAGAAGCTATATAGCTACAATTTTATTAGTCAACTATTAGTCTATATGTTTATTATAAACATAATTTCGAAACATTTCGAATATTTTCAAATTCGTTTTCATAATTTGAGTGCTGCAAAGCGAAAACCTGGAATTGTGAGTTTTCCGACCGAAAAACACAATATAATTTATGTTATACTTAATTTAAATTTATCAGGAGTCAGATCTGAAAGCGGAGCCGGCAAAAACCGAAATTCCAGGTTTTCGACTCGTTTATAATCTAAGAACATCCAATTCGGTGTTATTAATTAATACACGTGATTTACGCAATTACTTCATTGGATCTGCGTAATGTTTTTTTTTCGAAAAAAAAAACGTCTTTTTCCCTTCTTCTTTTCCCTTCTCATTTTCCCTCTCTTTTTATCACTTTTGTTCTCTTTCGTTTAGTTTTTTGATTATAATCTATGTTTCTAAATTCCTAAATTAATAAAAAAACTTTTTCTATTACTTAAGTCGGGACTTGACGTAATTTTTTTAAAGACCTGGATCTAAAGAACTCCAACGAACGGCAAAACTACTATCGACTAAAAAAATGAGCCGATACACAAGAAAAAGAAAATCTACGAAGGTTGTTCGATAGATATGTTCACAGAACCTATTTTCATGATATCACTGGATAGTTTTTTAAAAAGAATTAAAAGTAAGTTAATTTTATTGTTGAATTTTTAATTATCTTTAGATGGGAGAGCTGTTATAAGCTCTATGCGTTATGCCAAATTTACTTTTTGGAGATATCATCATATATAGGGCATATGGATGGTGAATTGGTTGAAGAATATAATGCAATTCTTTCGCTTGAGGGTACCACCTGGTTCCGGATAAAGAATTAAGTTATGTACTCTCGTTACAGACCGTAACTTTAGAAGTTCGTGGCCACAGTTTGCAAATTACCGGTACTGTGAACGTTCTTCTCCAGCTTTTGATATCTCCTTAAGTAAAGCTCATTATTTTGAAATTTTGAATAGGTGTTTCGCTAAACTCATCTTATATAAAAATTCGTTCTTTATTTTTAACTTACAGATAATTAATATATATATATATGGGCTAAGTGCTGGAAAAAGGGACCAAATTGACAATTTTTTCAAAAGCTATTTTTTTACATAAATTGATTTAGAGTAAGATTAGGATCATTTCTTATTTAAGACACAAAAGTAGTTGTATTAATAAAATTTTGCTATATTGCTCTTTAAAGTTTGCATTTTCTTATGATTTATTATAAGATCTACAACATAAAAATTGATTTTCCGAAGATCTTTTGTTTTGTCAATTTGGTCCCTTTTCTCAGCACCTAGCCCATATATATAGCAAATAATTCCGTTCTACTGTAATACTATTCTAGAACAATAAGATTTGGAAGTTTGATCTTCTACGTAGCGATCCCCGATCCGTGGGACAAACGTTACTGTTAATCAGACCTTTTGAATATACTAAGGATGATGGAATGGGATTACTTGGTACTCTAAAAAAAAACCATCATTGCGTAGGGTGATAACTTTTGGAAATTAGAAGATAATTATTCATATTTTAGAAATCATTTTTTAAATCAATTTTTGTAATGGTTATATTTATTTTAATAAATCATCAGTGTTTTTGAAATGTAATTTAAAGCGGTCATAATAAAAAGTGCAATACCACATCCGTACTTCAGTACTTCGAAGCAGACAAAAGAAATATACAGATTCGTGTATAATACACTTTTTATGTCTTGTTGTATTCTCAATGTAAAAATTTGATGTTAAGATTTGATGTTAAGATTAGGTGTTAGGTTGAAACTTGAATATGTTTTTATTTAGCATCAAATACTGATTACTTAGCCAGTTTTTAAGATATAGACGTTAAAATTTATGGATTTATTGTTTTGTGGTTTTAGCATCCTCGTGAGCGGCTACATTTCTCATTTTAACTAAAGAGATCACTCGTCAAGAAAATTTTATTTACGTAACGTTCGTTACAGTGATGTACTAGTGATGCAAACGGCTAGCTCCGGCTAATCATAATGGAGCTGAGCTGCTTTTTAGCTTAGCCGAGCCGGCAAGTTTTAAAATTGAAAAAAAAACTCTAAAAATGTTTTTTAGAGATTTTTTTTTTTCTTTAAAAATATTTGTTTTTTAAAGAAAAAAAAAAAACTCTAAAAAACAAATATTTATTACTAATCTAGGATTAGCTCTTTTAGCGTAGCGTCTCTAAAAAATGCATTGGTTAATGCTTTCTTTTCTTACAATCCAAGATTGTTATTGTCTATGTTCAGGAAAGTTAATGTGTTATTTTTTCCAAGTGCAGCAGCTATTGATTTTCCATCTTCTGGCCCAAGATTATTATGTTCGAGGACCAGAGAAAGCTTTTTATAAAGCCTATTGGCAAATGCCTCTCTTATATTTGATCCATTCTTATAAAAAGAAAAATTTAGATGTTTAAGGGTATTGTTCAAAGCGAGGGCATTAGCCAGAAATTCTCCTACTCTAAATCCGGTCTGATTTTTACTTGGATTGGGATTCCTATGAAGATTTAACGAAGTTAGCATGCTGTTGTGTCGAATATAATAAGCTAACTCCTTTCCTTGATTGTTATTAAACTGACAACCATGAATACATAAAAATTTTATTAGAAAGAACCCCTATTAATTCTTCAATTTTCCAAGACTAAGTTCATCTACCATAAGATTAAAATAAACCAGAGTATAATTATCATCGAGGTTCGTCACTAATCCTTCTATTGTCTGATATTGAAAAGATTGAAAATCATCACACAAATCTACAAAGGATTTCAGACAGAGGTTACCGCAGTGTTCTTAAACATTGGTTGATTGTAATTAATTTCTTCAAGATATAAACGTCAAGATTTTTGCCTATTCGAAGAAGCATTCTAATTTAATTGCACATTCGATACATTTCCAACCCAATGTTCAACTCCAAGATACAACCACCGGTCGATAGATGTAATATAGCTCGTATCACGTAAATTCAAAAAAAAGTGGCTTTGGTTGGCTTTGGTTGGCTTAGGAGCGTGATTCCTGTGATTTCCAATGAAGCTTTCTTTTCGGGAGTTAATGTTGAAAACAATATTTTCGTCCGTAAACTTATGCCCCAGTTCACTCCACAGTATGGGTATAATGATGCGACATCATTCACGGTTTACAAGTAATAAATTCTTACGAAAATTATTAATGAGCACAAGATGAAATTGAGATTGGTTGCTATGTCAGATGATTTTCATTAAACGTGATTGGCCGATATATTTTTATTATTTACTAATCTAATAAATTTTTTAGATCATTTATTATAAAAAATCGTAATTGTGTCTTATCATATTATAAGTAAAATTTTGTTGAATCTTCGACATAATACGGTACTAATAATTTTATTATAATACCTTATACGTACTACGTATATATATATATATATATATATCTGATATGATACAGTGTACGTATAAATATATAAATATATATATATATACTGTAATTTATCATTATTTTTACTTGAAGCATGCTTCTATATATTACATTATACAATAAGATCAAAAACTTAACGCTCTTTTATTCGATGTGACTATTTTGACTTTTTTTACGGACCTTGCTAAAGACTTTGTGTCGTTACGCTTCATATAACCTTGCTTAAATTTGAAGCATTTAATGTGACAAAATAATAATAAAAGTAAATGCTTTTAAATTCATAAATTACTGTGTTAATTTACTACTGTGGTATGCTGTAATACTCTTAGTTTCAATTACTTTATGAGGAGCTTCAATATCTTATAGTTGTGATTTGAAATTACGAATTGGGGCATTATTCTTGTCACATCATGAGTAATTCATTTATGAGTTATTGGAAGATAGAGGATGGAGGACCATATAACTGATATGGCATCGAGTTTATTAAGGGCTTTTTACTTTTCTAAAAACTTAGATATTTCTACTCAAATTTCTAAAGGAACTTTTACTTTTATAATTGTTTTTTCACTTATTATGTACATACTCGACATACTACATATCGCTTTTATCCAGAACATCCTGTCTAGTCGTTAAATCACTTAATTTCCTTTATCTAAAAATGAAAATAACGAAGTTTTAGTAATTTTATAGCCTTGATTTAACAAATTTGATTGGTTTTTGAGTTTGATACTGTTGACTAAAAGCGGGACATATATTTGGGTTTTATTATCCCAAATAAATGGAAATCCCGATTTCCAAACCCAAACTATGTAGCAATGCCATAATTCAAGAAAAAGGTTTGGATCGCAACGCTAATGACCTTCTTATAATAGGCGATGAATCATCGGCAACTCCGAAAAATCTCATTACATCATCCGGAAGTTTATACCTTCGCAAATCAATAGTCATAGGTGATCCACAGTTGACAGTTGCAGGGTTGATGCCCCGATTAATCTCTTCAATATCTTTCACCATTCGATCAATTTCATTTCCGGCGTTCGACTGATCACTCCCAAGTTGGTCAACAGCCTTAATGGTTGAAAGAAAAAAATCTTTTTGCGGTGCAATATTGGTTACTTCAGTGTTCGAAAGTGGCAAAGTAGACAAATTTGCACATGGCTCATTAGCATCATAGTTTGATGTATCTTTTGCCTTGCTCCAAGTATATATATTGGTAGTCTTGCTATCTCCTGAAATCAAATTTCCACTATTTCTTTTAAATAGTAAGAAATTGCTATTCTTGCGTTTTTTCTCCATACCAATAGTTTTAATATCCTCAGGTTCATGTTGTGGTACAAAGATAAAATTATTCTCAACAAAATAAGGATGTTTAAGGGCCTCCAATGCTGTGAGGCGTTGTCTTGGATCATATCGTAAAAGATGAGAGATAAATTCAAGAAAATGTGACGAAGCTGACGAAGGAAATAATTTAGACAATGGTTGCGGTGTGGTCTATATAATGCGCATAAATATCATGTTAATACACCTGAGGGATTTGGAGGTGCGAATATATAAGAACATCAAATATATATCATTACCTGTGAAAAAGTAAATCCCAAAGATTTTGCCAACTTTACGCCATCTTTCCATTCTCCTCCAACACCATCCGCCCGTATAGAGAATTCTGGCCGAACGCATGGACTGCCCAATACTTCAGAAATCTTGAATAATTGGTCAATTTCGCTTTGTCCAGGAAATAATGGTTTTAAAGAATAAAGTTCTGCCATGATAGTGCCCACTGCCCATAAGTCTATTGGAGAAGAATATGAACTGGAGCGGAGAAGGACTTCTGGAGCTCGATACCTAACAATCATTGTAAATTATTGATTTATTTTTCTCCGGGTTAGAGAAGTCATGCATTTATATACTTGTTCACGCATATTTCTGTATCGTTCTATAGTTAACTACCTGAGAAAAAAGAGACAACCAATAATAGACCATTTGGCCTCGATCCCATTGCAAGATAACGTGAACTTATAAATATTAAAGAAACCTACCATCTCGTGCTTACATATTCAGTGTAAGGTGGCTTAGACTTTATATCTCTCGCCAACCCAAAATCACCTACTTTTACTATATAATTATCGGAATTATCACTTTTATGTATATCTTGAATGGCCTTAATATGCTCTATCCAAGGTGAATTTCGACAATGCTTAGAATTACAGGTTGAATCTGATTTATTTGTACAATTACAAGTTATCTTCTTTTTAGTCGAAATCAAAATATTCTCAGGTTTCATATCACGATGAAATATTCCATGTGAATGAATATGATGAAGACCCTTAAGTATTTGAAATCTAAATAATTTTAATTAAATGAGTAAGAATCATAACTTATTTTAAATCATTATAACTACAAAGGAATAAAGCATTGACAATACATGATTGATTGTACAGTACGTTCTTTCAATAATTTCCCTTTTCTATCTTTAATAAATTGATAAAGATTTAATTCCATATGCTCGAAGACGAAATATAATTCTCTTGTCTGCTGTATAAAAAATGCTTCTGAAAGTGATATAACGTTTGGATGTGATGGTAAAGATCTGAGTGCCTATCATTTCCAATTGAATTATCACGTGAATAGATCATTCCAAATGGAAGACTTGGTATTAAAAGATTATTAAATACCTTGAATTCACGCAGTTCGCATACTTTTTCCCAAGAAGAAAATTCTTTCTTCATTTTTTTAATGGCAACCTTTTCGACGTGCATTGTAATAAGAAGCAAGAACCAAAAATTGTTAAAAGATTTTAGAAAATGATGAGTTATTTATGTTTTAAATTTTTGATCTGTTCAATCTTATGAGTTCAAGCTATTAAGCTTCTTTATTAATAACCATTTCATAAGGGTTCCTCACATAATTATTTATCCTGGGTATTTTCTGTCACTCATATTCAATACCTTGAAGTTAGATAAAGTTGGAAAGAGAACCCACCACTTGTCCCGTTTGCTTGTGCTGCGCTTGTATGACAGTGCCAAATGAGCCATCCCCCAATTCCTTCGTGATATGATAGTCGTCCATTAATAACGATGTTTTTTGGAGAGTTAAAAATTGTATTAAAGTTTTATTAACGAATTTAATTAAAAGCATTATGTATAAGGGCAAATACTTACTTGGACTCAGATAATCGGACAACGCACGGACATACATATGTGTACCGTTACCATGAAATTCTGTTGGTTGAGTTTGAATGTTGCTGATTTTATATTATTTAAAAAAACGTGGGATGCGCACGTCAAACAATTACTTTTACCCTGCAACTTATTATTCGAGATGCATATCATTATATTGTACATGCGAAAACTTTCCGTATACGGAATTATTTAAGGTAGAACAAATAATAAATCTAATAAACCCACTATTTTTTCGGACAAATTAATTGGTACGTACGTATTATAAAAATTTGTTTATAATTAATAATACATATATTTATTGATTAATTAGAAAAAAAATCATGAATGTCTTGGTGATCTAATGAACGCCAGGCATGCTAAGGGGGATTTTAGATAAAAGGACATAAAGTGTAAAATAATGAACATCATTCGATTTAACGTAGAACGTCATATACACAAAATCAAAACGTTGATTATAAAGATCGGCAAAATTAAAGAATGAAGTAAAAAGATGGAAGAAGGATAATGAAATGCTTGGCTATTTTTATATAATAATGTATTTTATTATTTTAACCAGAATCCTTCGCTTTCCGTTATAGCTCTTAACAATTTTTCTTCCAGCTTCCTTTTTGTACGATATCGATATAGGAAAAGCTGATTAAAACAAGTATGTGCAATTGGAAATCTATGCAAAGATATGTTTCAGAAAGAAAATGGAGTAAATATTATGATTTAATACTTTCCAATTATTGAATTATATCTACCTTTCGCTATCTTCTCCATAATATGATATTTTAAAACTCAAATTCGCACATCCTGTAGCGGGTATCCTATCAGTCCCTGTTACAAACGTAAGCAATTTGCGTTGCGTCATAGGATCCATAGCCTTAAAAATGGCCCAGAAATGTATTATGGTAGCTTCATCTTCTCGGAAACCTTCGTATATAGTTACTGAGCGTAACTGCTCAATTTCCAATGGTTCTGCACTACCACGAACCAAAAGTTCTATTTCTTCAGGTTGGAAAAGCTTGGTATTTAAAAAAAAAAAAAAAAATTAGATAAAAAAAATCATTGCGTATTAAACAGAACGAGAAGGGTTGCTTTTATACATACCGATAATGCATTACCGCTACACACATGATTAAAGCCACGTCTGAATGGATCAAACTGCTTTGCTACTGAATCATTCAATATGAAATTTACATATTTCTCAACATATTCTTTTACAAATAAAAACAGTATATATATATAATAAGCTTTTTTTGCTGGATAATCAGTTAATTCTATTTTAATATTTGCAGCATTTTACCTTTCCTATTAGCGTTGGTTACCGGTATATTTTGTCCATTGGTTTTTAAAGGGACCCTTTTTATTTCATCAAACACTTCGTATTCGCCAACAAAATCTCGACAAAAAGTGGATTCAACGTCACCCTCAAACGTAAGAAGTTGTTCCAACCCTCTTGCAAATGCCTAAAAAAGAATAAGGTGGTCGGTCAATTTTTGCTAGCAAAATTCAGTGAACACAATGAAAATCGGATAAGTTATCTACCGGGCGAAATTCTTTTAAATCCTCCAACCCAACAGGCACATTAAGTAATTTTTTATAACATGCTAATGGAAAATGTACATCCAATATTGTAGAATTATAAATCGCAAGGCCTATCACTACACCGACTAGATAGAACTGATCACTTGATTCAAAGCTGGCAGGATTGAACCAACAAAGCCTGGAGTCTTCATCCCATGTGAACATGCCTATTATTATTATTATTATTTATTATTATTATTATTATTATTATTATTTCATTATTATCTATTAGCTTATAACGTATAAATACTCACCAAACTGTGGATCAAATAAATGCCTCACTAATAATAAAAACCATTCTTTCCGGAGACCACCACCATCTACTCCAACTTCACCCACAAATTCTATCCTTAGTGATTTTTTCAGTTCCATTTCATTTTCAGAAATTTGACTTAATGAGTCTTCAATTAAGTAATCCCTTCGGACTTTTAATATCAAATGCGGTGTTGCAGCTCGTTTTTGAAAAAGAAACGAGAGAATCGCTTCCTAAAAAAGCTAAGTTTCATAAATGTATCCCACATTTCATTTAATCGGGTATAAAAAAAATATATTATACAATCAGCATACCTTTGCTTTTGTTTCCATTTGCCGTTTTGCGTCATACTCCATTATTGTCGTCTTCCCACCCATGCTTACCAGAAATGGATATTGACAAAATGTGAATTTTCTAAAATAGGTTAATATTAGTATAAGTTTATTATTTAGTAAAACAAGTATAAAAGATTATACTAACCCAGAGCGTTGTTCCCATGTATTAAAATCATCTATTAGCGATATGTAATCTACCCTTGTGTTGTAAAACTCTGATATTTGAATTTTTTTCTTTTGTTTATTTGCAGCAACTGAATAACCAGATTTGAAAAGTTTAGTATTCAAATTAACATTAATACAAAAGCAAGTGTTAGTACATACAAAACAACGCCATTACTCTGGCTGCAGAATTAATTTGCCAATCTGATTCATAAGCAAGAGGACCTCCCGGCACAGTAGCCATTGGCTGTTTTGAAAGCCTAAAGGATATGAATAAATTAACAAGTTCAACACGTTTCCGAAATATGTCCGTTGAATGTCTAAGTTTTTTTGAAAAGAAAAAAATTAGTTATTAATTAACCTTGGATAAAAAAATTTCAAAATTTACTTACCGTGCAAACCAGTTGACTAAAAAGTGATGTAGCTCATTACTCAAATTGGATAGTAGACCAAAAACTCTTTGTACAATTTGATGATGATATTGCGACTCTTGAGGAAAATTGTGTTGCGAAAGAAGTGGATTCTAAATTAAAAAAGATAAAATAAAATAAAATAAAATAAAAATTTAAATGACTAAATTAACAAACTATTAAAATTAGGATTTGATAACTAATTAGCAAATACTCGTACAAATTTTGCAAACCTCTAGGATTATCATTAAAAATTTAATGTCTTCTTTTCGTTTCAACATTCTTTTCCAAACAAATAACAAGGAAATAAATACTAAAATTACATTGCTATGTCAAACAGTAAAACTTTTGCAAATATACACCTTCCGGGCCTTTTCAATATGCTTTCAACTGATCTCATCATTGCTCTTATGATATTTGCTCTTATATTTACAGGCTAGAATCAAACATGAAAGGTTAAATTACAATCCATACAATAATAAATTCTCTAATTTGTTATAATTATAACATACCAATTCCATCAAGATTTGATATGCTTCCCTGACTTGATCCAATGCAACTCCGCAATCCTCCAAAGTAACCGGCCTCCCCTTTATGGCCAACAAAATAAAAATAAATCAAACAACATCACGCATTATCATGTATTTAAAAAAAAAAATTGTTAATCAAATAGCATTAGTTAACAAATATTCAATAAATGCTATTAAGAGTTTATGATGAAAGACTAAATTACCGCCTTACATTGCTGAAACTTTCATTCAATGTGGGCCAATTAGAAAATGTCTTTTGTATTTCCTGTTCTAATAATTTATAGTTTGGTCCGCCATAATAGCTGATTAATGCTCGAATTCTATCCAACGTAATGGGATTGATTGGCTCATCTTTGGTGCAAAGAAAAAAATAAATAAAATAAAAATAAAATAAAAATCGGATCATATTCACAATGCTTATGATTGTGAGCTTTAAATTTTGATTCACCACATAATA